ATATATATATATATATTATATAACAGTTCCTTTTCATATTGGTGAGTTATTTTGATGGAATGGCCAATGTCCGATAACTTTATCGCTAATATCTGCCAATACCGTTACCATGCCAATAATATTGTGCATCCCTGCAACCAACACAATTCAACAAGTTTCCTTCTACTGATTGCGCAAATTATGGTATTTTTAAGATATAACAGAAATGATTATAACTGTCATTTCTCACCATAAGATGATCTGAGTTTAAAACTCTTGCATGAAAGGTAGCAGGCAACATGCATTGCTCCAAATATTGCTCAACACCTTTAATTACAATATGGTATCCATGCTCTGAATTTACCTCCATGGAAAGAGCTAAAATAAACATTGTGGATGTAAAGTATGGGTACTGTTGCTGACATGAGGATTTCACTGGTAATTACTAACATCTAATACTGCAAATACTATTTAGTGTTTGGTGATTGAAAATAGAGTAAACAAAGTCAACATCCTGTGTAATACCTGGACAGTTTAATCAAATATGACTATATGGCCTGCAGGAGGCACTGCCTTTATGAAGCCCATATTCTTCAGCTTTTATTGATGCTGTCAAAGAGAAGTGTATTTACTACTGTACTCATTTTGCGTTCATGGCTTACTGTATTTCTGGTCTTTTATGATGTGCAGCTTTTGTTTCTCCCTTCATGTTATGCTAGAAGTGATAAAAGGTTCATACATATACACAAAAACGATGACATTTATGAACGTTTCTGATATTTTTGTAATAATGATCTGCACTGAAAAGGTTTTAAGATCGTTTGTTTCTTGTTTTGACTTTCTGCTTAATAAATCACATATACACATTATGACATACAGTAACCCACACTGATTTATTCAAACAGGCATTGCAACAAGCCATTAATTATCATTTATTATTTACTGACTTTGTACTTGGAAATTTAGGGGCTGTCCACACGGGAACAGTTTTTGTGACTTTGTGATTTTTGTTTTTATTGTTTCAGCCTCACGTTTACCCAGAAATTGTGTTTTAGAAGTGCCAAGATTCCAGTGTGACAAAAACTTGCAATTTTGTATAGACCCCAAAAAAAGTAAAATAGAAATAAATCATTGCAACACATGACAACAATGGTAAAGTCCCACCTTTAATCTAAGGTACAGCTGGAGGGTGTCGTTTTTGTTGTTGTTGTTGTGGTTACATTTTACACCCAACATGTAAGCGTTATGCACATACTCCAGCCCTTGATTCTTGTTTTTGGTGTATTGTGTTGGCCTGGAATAGTTGCTAGAGAGCTGTGAGGCATTTTCTGTATTTCTGTGTGGATGGAGATTTTTTATTTTTCTTTAGAAACAACAAATAAATAGAATATTTTTTGGGGAAAAAAGTTTTTGTGTGGTTTAGACAACACCTCTGTGTGTGTGTGTGTGTGTGTGTGTGTGTGTGTGTGTGTGTGTGTGTATGTGTGTGTGGTGGGGGGGGGGGGGGATCTGACATGATCAAAAAATGTAAGGACATATGAGCTGCCCAAGCACTATTTATTGTCATGGATCCTGATAGCTATTCAACACGATAATACTTAAAATTACATACTAATCAGTTTGAATCTCTTTAAGACATTGCCACATATTTATCAGACACGGTTAGCATTAAAGTACTAGAAAATGCAAATTGAAAAATAAGTATACAGTATCAATCTGTAGTTTTACATTAAAGTTTAATAAATCCAAGCCTGTGTTTTGTTATTGCAACAGATGAACAAAATGCACAGCCAGGACTCTACTTATTAAAATAATCCGTTCTACTCTCAGCTCGGTTAGCTTTCACTCAGTCACTTGTGAGTGATCATGCAGTGATCACACACAATCAATACATTAGTGAATAGATTTTTATTTTAGTAGGAAGAGACTCAAAGCTTCTGATCACAAGGATATTCACTCCTAGCTAACGGTTAATGCAACAAGATGTTAGCATGAGATGATCAATGCTTTTATTCCTCACAGGATTACTTTTACAAAGCCACAAATTTTGCTTTGTTTTAGTCACACTTCTGCAATAAAAGCAAATGTAAAATGATCTTTTTAATTTGTTCCGATGAGTCATTAACAAATTGCAGAACAAGCTGTGATTGTACACCCTGAACTATATTTTCTAAAATAATCAATTCATGTCTCAGCTCAGTTAAGTTTCGCTTAGTTGTGAGTAATTGTGCAAGGATACACACAATCACCAAATGATTTGAGCGAATTGATTTTTTTTTTGGGCGCAGGGCGACTCCAGGCTTTTTGATCATTAGGAAATCCACTTCTATCTAATTGTTAAAGCAACCAGGTGTTAGCACAAGATAATCAATGTCCTTATTCCTCACAGGGTTACACTTATAAAGACACATAGTCTCAACTGCACACTCTCTTTTTGTTTTACAAGACGTTTCCATTAAAAGCAAAAGAAAATAATAAAATGACCAAGAAGAGTGAAGGGAACACGTGCTGGTTCTGCTGCAACTTCAGTGAGAGGAAGACGTTCCTTTAGATTATTTCACGTGACAACCGTGTAATGATTTGATCATAAAGTAATAATCAGCCCAGTAAGTTCAGGAGTACTTTTATGCAGAACAGTAGATAAAAAAATAAATAAATCTATATGCACTACATTGACGACTGAACAAAATTATGTACAAAGTTTGATAAGGTACCAGATATACAGAATGTCTAATCAAAAATATGTATACTTTATTTTTTTTATTTTTTGTTTTTGGTGAGACAAAGTTAACATTCTGACCCAGAACTTTATCAATTCATGAATGAATCTGTCAAACAAATCTTTAAAATGAGTAAAACGTAGTAACCTGGAATATGGGCATTTCTGTGCATACGTGCGACAAAAGCTGTTTAGCAAACACGACTAAATTTAATTTCTGATTTACACCTAGTCACAGCAAATAAAGAAAACTGTGAATTCTGCGGTCAGATCATAAAATCATCAAATGAGTAAAATAAAAATGATAAACAGGTAGAGTCATGTGCAGCAACATTTATTTTGCTGTAATGGGACAAATCCAGAATTGAAATGATGGAAGTAATATCTGTAAGCAAGTGGAATAGATGTGTCAGTTTAAACGTTATAGGAGTGGTTCTTAAATTGGGTTCACTAATTTTAAAATTTTTATTTTTTACAAGAACATAGATGTTTAGCAACCTGTTAAAATACATAAAAATGCAGGGAATCACATCTACTTTATTCAAAATTTTTTGGGGGAGGAACCCCTCCCCCGCCCACTATTTGCATTCCAGCATTGATCGATTTACAAATTAAGCCTTTTACTTGGTCTGTCTACTGCGGCTATGATTCTGTTCAGTTTTATGTAAAGTGGTTTCAGTAATAATTTGAAGAAGTGGCAATACATTTATTATGCTGATTACGAGAATAGGTAAAGTTTTAAAGTGGTTTTTGATGCTGTTAATTTTCTCAAAACTGTAATTTTTGGACGTTGAAATAAAAAATTGTGTTAATTTAGTGTGTCTTGAATGAAAAATACTCCATGTTTAAAAGTATAAAAATTGTATTAACACTATTAAAGAACAGGTCTTAAGTATTTATGTTACACAAATATTTCCATTGCATTAAAGAGACACATTGAAGAAAATTATTTAATAACCATGAGGATTCAAAAAGCGTTCAATATGGACTTTATTTGTAAAGTCCATTTGTAACCATGAGGGCTATGAGGTGGTCCCTGAACCTCAAAAGTTTGAGAACTCCTGCTTTATAGAACTAACTGCACAGATGCATCTTTCAGATATATTTACACTATCGTACAAAAATCTTGCAGGGGAAGAGGACAAGCCCAAAATATTCTCTAAATTTGGAAGCTGTACTGAATCCAAATATGGTTACATGAACTAATTCTGTCATTCTTTGTGAAAACCTTTGTTTTAATAATTTCAAGTCTAAATGGGAATTTTTCAGGCACCTTTGCCTTCAAGATCCACAAATAAAGTCCACAGAGTTGGTGTAGTTTGATTGTTTTTGATGCTTTTTGTTTGTCACAGTAAAAGTGACATGTTTATTAATTATTATTATTATTATTATTAACAAAGGGAAGTACAAAGACTCGTTTGTGTACTGCACCTTTCCCTGACGTTTCTCCCTTCTGTTCCCCCAGGTAGGATGGTGGGAGAACGGTGTGCTGAAGCTTCGGTACCCAGCTTGGTCCCGCTATGGGCCGTTTCTTAAACCGCCTGATGATGCCCAGCACCTGCGTGTGGTCACACTGGAGGAAAGGCCATTTGTCATTGTGGAGCTTGCAGACTCTGCTTCTGGGACCTGCATCCGTGATTCAGTTCCCTGCAGACGACCGCTTAACGCTAGGTCTGAATGTTTCATTTTATTATGAATGTGATGTCACCCTTTTCCATACCGTAGCACACAATTTTTAAATTTCAATAGTTATAGTTTAGATTTTCTGTTTAAGGGGATTCTGTGAAATATTATAAACAATTAATACCCTACCTGTTGTAGATAACTCTTTGAGCAACTTCAGTTTGGAGAAATAGAGATTAATTGTGAGCAGACTAAAAGAAAATAACTAGTTTAAGCGACCAGATTGGATTCTTGCCAAAACATTATGTCAGTTCAGGCAGTTACCAATTTATAAACCTTTACTCTGCTGTTATTTTCACATTACAATTTATTTTTCTGGCAGAAATGTTATTTTCCTGATGGAAGTGCCCCAGGCTACTCTGGTAGTGCTACATCTAGCCGCTAATAAAAGCTAGCTGCTATTTTTGCTTGCAAATAATTATAGATTTCCATATAAATAACTATGTAATACAAAATGAGAGCAACACTATAAAGTTTTTCAGATTGGAGTTGTTGTAAAACAGCAGCGATCTACTTTGGGCTTGCTCGGACTTGTCGCTAGCTACGCAGTCTGGTCAGAATTAATCTGCATGTCTGCAAACTGAGATTGTTCAAAGAGATATCAACAACATTAACATGACTTGTTCATGACATTTCCAAATCAATCTAACTTCTAAAAGGATCTGAATTATGCCTTTACTACCTACCACTCTGGAGAAGAAATAATCAGAAAAGAATGAATTGAGAGAGGGGTGGCTGTGTTTCTACATCGTTTATCAGAGTTGTGAATGGAGTTCCTATGCTCTCGTGATGCCGTCCAACTGAGGTTTCATCAGTCATCTATCAACACTGTAGTTTTTTCATTCCCTGGCCGTAATCAATAACAGACTGCTCTCCAGTGGACTAACTCAAGTCTGGAATCAGATATGACCACAGAGGAGCTTTATGGTTCATCGGCTTCTGAAGGAATGACAGCACCGGTCCTACGCTGGTTTATCAAACCTGTCATCAAGGACCCTGTTTTGTTTTTTTAAGCGTCTTATGTTCCTTTCCAGATCTTTTTGCCTTTTTTCCCTTCATTAATTTACCCTCTCTACCTCTTTCACAGTGCTATTCACGAGGGTGTGGCTCCTCAGAAGCAATGCTGCAAAGGCTTCTGCATCGACATCCTCAAGCGACTCGCCAAGATTGTCGGCTTCACCTACGACCTGTACTTGGTGACCAACGGGAAGCACGGGAAGAAAATCGATGGGGTTTGGAACGGCATGATTGGAGAGGCAAGTCTTTGTTTATGTGCTTGTGTGGATGCTTGTGGTTTTGCTTGTCTGCCTGAGTGAGAAATGTGTTCTCAGCCAGCGACACTTGTGCACGTGTGAGAAGGGTGTGTGTATGTGGCTGCGCCTCTACAGCTTCAGTCATCGAAGTGCAGAAGATTCCTCAGCAATCCCTAGGAGTCATATCAATCACTGTGAAGGTTTCAGCCACTTATCAACTGCTCACAATTAGACAGCTGTCATTTGTCACACACACATGAAAACACGCAGATGTCCTGACACAAACTATTAAAATGCAAAGATGCAGTGTGCCTGCTTGTGTTAGAGCCACACTGTGTGTTGCTCTGCAAAGACACATTCTTCCCAACACAAGCGCACTCACACAACATCAGACACCCCCCTGGCTAGTTGGAGTCAGTCTTAGATATTTTCTTGGTCATATGGTTCATGAACTCCCATCAAGAAAAGACATGCAGAAGCTGGCAGAAAAATAACAATGCAAAAAATGGACAAACATGCGTGCACACACAGTACTCACACATACGCTGAGATCAATACAGTGGCTGCTGCTTCACTGAAGCTCCCCGCTGTTTCTAACGTTCTCCCAGAGGGAACTAGCCAAACGCCATCAGTCACGGGTTCTAAAGCAGCTCCACTGCGCTCTAACGCTTCTATCATCTGTAACTTGACTACAGGTCAGAGCTGGCTATCAAATCTATTTTCACAAGCAGAAGGCCACACGTATTTTTTTTGTTTTCTCCAACTAGTTTCTGCCTTTTGATCAGCTGCTCCAAAGCCTGCCACTCTTTGATCAGGTAATCCACAGGCTTGGCAACGTTGAAGATGAGGGGATGGTGTGTGAATGTGTGTGTGGGGGGAGACGGGGGAGGCGTTTGCGTTCCACTTCGCTTCAGTTTTCTGCTGATTTGCTCAGAAGAGCGGATGTGCCATGTCTAATGTAGATTAACATTTCACTCGTACAATCAGCAGACACAGCGGTTTTCAGGTTTTGCTTAATGGTGTCAGGGAGGAGTTGGGGCCCTGGCTCATTTTGTATGCTAAACAGATTCACAAAGAGACACGTGTTCAGTAATTGGACTGCACCGAATCACTGGTTCCCCTCATGCTCTCACGTTCAAGGATGTGCAAAGGGTCAAGGCGTAGAAGTGTCAGGATCTCACCTGGAAATAAATCTTTGTGGACTATCAAAAAACTGGCTATCTGAAATGCTTACAGGCATGATTGCATTTGTTTCTTGTTCATGTTTTTGTCCCCTGCAGGTGGTGTATAAGCGGGCAGACATGGCCATTGGTTCACTGACTATCAATGAAGAGCGGTCGGAGGTCGTGGATTTTTCTGTTCCCTTTGTGGAGACGGGGATCAGTGTCATGGTCTCCCGCAGCAACGGAACAGTATCACCATCAGCTTTTTTAGGTAAGAGGCACCAGTTTATTGGAGGAATTTAATCTAACTTAAAGTGTTGAGTTTGCATAAAGTACCTCAGTCTTTAGTAGCTGGTCTTTACGTCTTGATTACCCGAACTCCCTGTTTTTAGTTGCTCGTTTCGTTTTAACTTCTTGTTTTACTCCGTCAGCACAGTCGAGGCCCCAATGGGAGGAAAGTGTTACTGATTTATAGACCGCATCAAGAAGAAAACGGGATCAGTCTTTATGGACTAAAGATTGTGTTTACTTGAGTGGCTTTTTGTTTTCATTGCATGCGAGGTCAACTCCTGTATGTTTATTGCTCTTCACAGAAGGCGAAGGTGGAGTGATGGAAGTGTTTCCCTGTGTTTGTGTGTGTTTGTTTGCATATCTAGTCAGAAAAATATCTTATATCTGAATGGATTTTTACCAAAAACTCAAAAAGCAATCTATTGATTGACTTGTTGAGTCTCTCAAATTCTTAGCCAATCTGAGCCCAAACATGGCTGTAACTCAGTCAGTTTAAAAGATATTGAACTAAAATTAGGTGTGGTATTAGCTTGAGTTTTTTAATGGGAATAGAAGTTTTGAGATCTTTCAGTCTGTTTTTAAACAACTCCGCAGCACCGAAACAGCTTTAGTGAGGTTTTACACTCACATTCTGTTATCAAATAATTCTGGTCAACTTGTGGTACTTGTGCTTCTAGAACTTACTGCTGCTGTTGATACTGTTGACCACAGTATCCTTATATCACGGCTGGAACACTGGGTTGAGATTACAGGTGCAGCATTAGAATGGTTCTGCTCCTACCTGAGTGACAGGGGTTTCTGTGTTAAGGTTGGTAATAGTGTCTCTGCTTCAGTGCCTCTTTCCAGCGGTGTCCCGCAGGGCTCGATTCTTGGACCCCTTCTGTTTTCACTCTATCTGCTACCTTTGGGGTCGATCCTGACAAAACATGGTCTTTCATTTCATTGTTATGCTGATGATGGTCAGATTTATAACTTATTTGACTTTTGGTGTCATCCTTATTTGTCTGTTAGCAAAATATTTTACGAACCACTTGATGGATCTCATTAAATCTCTCAGAAAATATTTATTGGTCGTCCAACTACAACTCATTTATTTTGGAGTCAATCCAATTCAAGATGACCCCCACAGATTAACCTACACAAAAATGGATATACTGCAGTGAATTTTACGGATACTGAGGTAGAACTTTGGCGTAAAATTAGCTGAGAGGCACTCACAACCCATATTTGAAGCACTAACAGATCAAGAGAGATCCGTCTGGATAGCATAATGGGATCGCACATCATTTTATTTTCCATGTTTGACCAACATGGCTATAAGTTTGGGCATTTTCCAACATAAGATGATTTTACTCTAAAACTCATGCATGAAAAGTGTTGATTATGCATTCCTTGAAGGAAAGCAAGTGCTTTATTAAAGCATGTGCCAGGTTTATCAAACTTTCTTATATTTTCCACTGCATGAATTAATGTTAGGAAGAATTAAATGTTTTTTTTTCCCCATTTTTGTTTTTTTTCGACAGAGCCCTACAGTCCAGCCGTGTGGGTGATGATGTTCGTCATGTGCCTGACTGTTGTGGCCGTGACTGTCTTCATTTTTGAATTCTTCAGCCCTGTGGGCTACAACCGCAGCCTTCAGACTAGCAAGAGTGAGTGATGAGTCTAAGCTGTCAGTTCCCCTGTCTGATAAATGGGTCAGTGTAAAGTCCATCACTGATGCCTAATAGATCAAATTGTCAAACACCTCCTGAAAAAAAAAACTGGTAAAAAGAATAAAATAATGGTTTCAACTAAGATTTTTTTTTTTGTTGTTCTTGTTGTCCGATTGCACCTGTGGCTCATTTATAATTAACCGAAGGGCATATTGAAGGTGCCGTCCCAAATCCTTCATTATGTGTTTGGCAAATTATACGTACAGTATATTGAACTGTGTCCAAGTATTCTCAATATTAAAGCAGTGCATTTAATATTCAGCAGTGTAGTTTGTACCCCTGTGATATTCAGTACGCCTGATGCCTCGGTTCAATACCCTGTTGGACTCGGCTCTTTTCTTGCATGATTGCTGCGCTCGACATAATTTTACCTCTCTGTCATCCTCCCATATATCCCTCTTATTCACTCCCATCTCTTCTTTTCCTTTCCCCCTCCCCATCATTCTGAAAATACAGAGGTATTTGAACTTTTTCAATAGTTTAATCATTTGAACGTGCAGCAGCTGGAAGGAAAGCATCAATCGTTGAAATGTATGGTTACTGCCTTTTGAGGTTCGATGATAAAAAGCTGTCATTATTCCAGTACATGTCCATATTCTAGAGATTACCGAGAGAAGCTCCATTTGAATTGGTTGCTTCCTCTGCATGCTTATACATATTATAACTTCTTGTACTAACAACTGCTTTCTAAAAACATAAACTGCTCACTTTATCCTTTATTCTTGTTTTATTTTGTGCCTTTATCACGATGAGCAGAAGCTGGAGGGTCTACATTCACTATAGGAAAGTCGGTCTGGCTTTTATGGGCTATTGTCTTCAACAACTCGGTGCCAGTAGAGAACCCGAGAGGAACCACAAGCAAAATCATGGTGCTGATTTGGGCCTTTTTCGCCGTCATCTTCCTGGCCTCCTACACCGCTAACCTCGCCGCCTTCATGATCCAGGAGGAGTACATTGACACGGTTTCAGGCCTTTCGGACAAAAAGGTACCTCGTTGCTTGAATACTAATTAAGTGTAAAAAGAAGAAGGAGAATTAATGTCTTAGAGTGTGCCAAATCCTTTGCATTTGAATGTTGAATTGATTAAAGCATGGGAATTAAGAAATGAATAGAATTCCATTTAACATAACTCAATTACCACAATTCTCAGTTACATAAAAGACTGACATAAATGGGACTTTGAGTCTGCACACTGCTCTCTCTTTGTTTTGTAAGTGTGCAGTGTTGTAAGTCAGTCTGGACAGTGGATAGAAATAGGTCAGACAGATTGGTGCACAGCTCTGTGTCTCATGTCCCTTTTTTCTTCCCCTCTCGCCTTCTTTTGGCGTGATAGTTTCAGCATCCAGAGGAGCAGTACCCTCCTCTGAAGTTTGGTACAGTGCCCAACGGGAGCACGGAAAAAAACATCCGCTCCAACTATCCGGACATGCACCAGTACATGGGCAAATACAACCAGAAAGGAGTAGAAGACGCCATACTGAACCTCAAGACTGGGTCTGTCTGAGTTTCTACATGTGCTTTTGTTTTTTCACTTCACATACTCATTTAGTTTTTCATCTGGCCATTTAAAAATACATATGTTGCTCATTGTTGATCCATTCCAGAAGGTTTTTGAGCTTTGTAACATTTTCTTGAGCCAGTTTGAAGCCAGAGACATAAAAGTAAAGAATTTGTAACAATAACAGAGAAGTCCCATCATAAAAGATAGAAAATATTCTCCCACCATGTTTTTTTAAACTCAGGGTTGGCCCATCTGCCATTTAAGTTTCAAGGTTCTTTATTGTCATTCGCATCACATGTGGCACATGAGGTGGAATGAAATTGTGTACTCAAGGTCCCAGTTCCATCTGAAAATAGCAAAAATATAAACTATAAAATGAAACAGTAAACAAGGATCTAAGATGTACATTAAACACTAATAATATAGTATAATGCAGTGTACTGTATTATTGTATTTATGTTTACAATCAAATTGTTGTCTATCCAATCAATATATTTAAAACCTAGAGATCACAACTACTTTATAAGCTGGGTTTACTTTATGCAATAAAAAGATAAAATAAGCTACACCCATTCTTTGTTTTTAAAATACTTGATCCATAAATATAACTTTTTCAATACAGTCTTTAAATGAATATTGATTTGACAGCAAGGCTCATGAACAGCTATGAATTATTTTAGATTGAACTTTGGCACACTCGTATTAGCCATTAGCTCATCACACAGATTAGAATTTACTTTAATTTCACCAAACTGAGGTTGTACAAAGAGTTATGTACAGCAGGTAAGATATTAACTGTTCATAACTCTCAGCTGAACCACAATTCGAAAGATCTTACTCCTTCTTCAACAAAGAAACCCACTCCTTACACAGCATTTACAAATTGCTTCTAGATATATTTAAACTACACTATCATTCTTTTATTGCTTAAACGGTAGAAACCTTGGCACAAAAAGTTATTTTAAAGTAAGACACCTCGGGAAATAAAACCCCTGCAGATTTAGAGTCCAATATCTCAGTCATAAATGAACGCTAAACTATTACTTTTATACGTCCCACTTTCATTTTTAAAATTTATGTTATTGATAGTTTTTCATGCTTGTTCTTAACCTTGTGAATCACTTTGGTCAACGTTGTTTTTAAATGTGCTTTATAAATAAAATTGGCACCGATATTGACACATCCTTGACGAACACTTATTTTTATTCTTAAGTAGTTATTTTGATTATTTTAACTAGGGTTGTGCAATATTATCGGCATGGTATCAGTATTTGCTGAAATTAGCGATAAAGTTAAATATTGGACATCGGCCATTCCATCAAAATAACTCACCAA